TGGATTAAACAATAAAATATAATGATGTATTTTAACAAATTAAGCCTGACCATTGCACGTTTCCATTTTAAAGAAAAACAAAACAAACATACAAACAAAAATGTGAGGCAGCGTGGTGGAATCAGGCTCTCGTCAAATTTTGGGCATGTAGAGTTATTGGTATCATCTTAAAGCTTGTTCACTTGTCTTTATTTGGATGAAAAAATATCCATTTATTTTGAATACAAGTCGAGATATTTGCGAAAGAAGGAGGTGGGGGTCACTTGTTTTCAGAGGTAAAATTAGTGAGAAAATGGCAGCCAAATATTAATTATCTTTTAGTTTAAAAGTCCGTGGTAACTGAAAATTTACATTTTTTGTGTGCCTTTAATCAGTTTTTCAGAAAAATTCACAGAGAAATGAGTTCTTTAAATGGCATGGAAGGTGTTGAGCCAAAAAACAAAGATTTGAAAAAAAAAATCACAAATCTGCGGAAAATGCAAGTTTCTTCACTTTGATTATTTTGACGAGAGCCTGATTCTACCACGCTGCCTCACAAATGAGGTTACCCTTCTCCCTCGGACAGAAAACCCTTGAGCTGGTGCACACAAAATTTTCTCATTTTTCTGCCCCTTTCAGCCGTAGATATACAATAATATGCTGTGTTTGAGGAAAATCCTCATGGAAGCTATATTATAAGCTGTAAAGAGGCGCTTTTGTAAAAACCCCTTTCACGTTCATAGAGTTACCCCCTTTTCAACCTGAAGTGTACATCCATGACCCCTTTTGAGAACCCACGGTGAAGTAAGGAAAATAACCCACAGCAACAAATTTCAAAGAACAACAAAACCGCGGTTCTTTCCCTTGATCACGTCCACGCTCTATCTCGTGTGACCGTGACCTTCGTCAGACAAAAATCCGCGCCGGAATTTTCCTTTTGTGTGTTCGAATCGCTCCACCAAAAATTTCTCCTTTGACCTGCTTTGGAGGCTGTTTGAGCAGCGGTCTTTCTTCCTTCGTCATTCCTCTGGGCCTCGTTGTCATGTAAGTACGACATGTTCACATTTCTTCTCTTTGTCGCTGCTATTTCAATTTTGCTTGTCAATTATTCTTGCTCCCTTGATTTTACGTACAAATACTAATATGATTTTTTTCGCTTTCTTTTGCTTGTTCTTCTTTTTTTGTGTAACTTGAATAAAAGACACCCACCCCACCCCCCCACCCCCACCCCCACCCCTTTTTTCCGAAGGTTTTACATAAGTTTTATTGTTTTTTGGTTGTTGTTTTTTTAGGGGGGGGGGTGGGGGGTCAAATTCAGTACCATGATGTTGCGTGAAATACAACTTTAATTTTTATTTATTTATTTATTTTTTTTTTTTGGCGGCTTTCTGAAAAACTTTTCATTTTATTGTAATTGTAAGCGTAATTATTTAGATCTTTTTGTCCTGTAATGAAAGAAGAAAATGTTCATATCATAGAATCTACTTGTTTCGTCTCACGCACATATTTTACCTTTGTAACAAATTGTTACAGTCACGTTTTGCTTTGTCATCTAGCTTAAGCTACTTTTCAATTACAATGTATTCCATGTACCCCCCCCCCCCCCCCCCCAAACCTTCCCCATTTCACCCCTTTCTCTCTCGAGTGTTGTTTTCCTCAATTACAGGTTTTGGTTCTTTAATTCTTTTTTAAAAAAATTATTTCACTTCAAAAACGATTCTTTTATATGTATTTATTGTTTTCATTATTTTAATTTTTTTGGCACGAAAGCTAATCTTATTCAAAACACTTTTTTATACTCTTATCTGCTGTTATCTACCTAAGCTTTCGAATCAAAACCAACCCAAATGTGAATGATAAGAAGAAAAAAAAAAGCTGGTATCTGCAATTGATGCAGAAAATTGTGATGATCTTAGTTTTAACAGCAAAGTCAGGGTTCAAGTCCTTGAGTGGCCCATCATGTCTTCTCTTGTCCTAGGTCGTTTTTTCTTCCAGTCCCATCTTCTGCATCAGTTTTATCAGTCAATGGTGGTGACAGTTTTAAAAAACAACAAACAAAACAAACAACTGCATCGCAACTGATGTTCACAGAACAAGCTTAGTCTTCGAATTCTAAACACCGAATGACTTTGCTTATGACCTCTGCTCACTGAATACTTTAACTTGTGACCTCTATCCACGGAATATTTCATTTCACTTACCTATTTAATTCGTGATCGGTGTAAATGAATAAGAATTAAGTCTGTAATCTTTGTGAACGGAATACTTCAGTAGGCCTACAAGTGTATTTGTCACTATTTGATAGCTCCGCACCTGCGAAGTCGTTGGTGATTCTTCCACAAAACAAAACCGTACACTCCACTGCGCCCACGCTAGCAACGTGGGAGAATCCTTTTAAGAACATACCGCGCACAGTAATAATAATAATAATAATAATAATAATAATAATAATAATAATAATAATAATGAATAGGAGGAGGAGAAGGATAATAATAATAATCATCATCATCATCGTCATCATCATCATCATCATCATCATCATCATCATCATCATCATCATCATCATCATCATCATCATCATCATCATCATCATCATCATGATAATAATAATAATAATAATAATAATAATAATAATAATAATAATAATAATAATAATAATAATAATAATAAAAACAATAAGAATAAGAATAAGAATAAGAATAAGAATAGATTGCTTTTATTATGTAACGCTCTATCCCATACAGCCCACTAACTTTAAAGTGTCTCAATCTATCCCATTGAGTATACATACTTTAAGAGGTCATGTAATGGGACCGCTTTGTCCCATAAAGTATATTAGTACTTTAAGTACCGATGTAATCGTCATCATTGCCTTTCTCACCCTGGATCAGGATATAGGCCACGAACAAACACTTTCCACCTTTCCCTATCATGGGCTAGTCGCTTGATGTCACTCCACGTCTTCCCCCTGCTTCATACAAGGTGCAAACATTCCACGACGCAATCCGGAGAGACTTGTTCGACAGAGAAGGTTTCAGGTCAGGAGAGTCATTTTGACTTTGTCCGCTGTCCTTCATTGTTCCAGCTGTTACAGAAGCTCCCCTGTCTCCCAAGATGGAAAAATAATCAAGCGTGTCTGTTTCCGTTGCTACAGCTTTCTGTAATTACTGGGTCGGGTAGTTGGCCCTCCGCAAACTGGCACTTTTCAAGAGACCAGACGTATGTACCTTTAGTCGTCTCTTATGACACGAAGTGCGCAGGACAAGGTGAAGTGGAGGTCCATGATCGCCCACGCCAGTCGGCAAGGCACCGGATGATGATGATGATGACACGCAGTATCACGGCAGATGTTATTCTTTGCTCCCCTAGGGTAAAACTATGGGGCTCCCCACCTTAACCCCTGGGTCACGAAAGCCCCCAATGAGAGGTTACTTTGTCCCAAGATGTATAAGTACTTTAAGAGACGATGTAATGGGGCTCACTGTGTCTCATAAAGAATAATTCCTCTGGGCTCTCGTGGCCTAGAGGTTAAGGTGTTAGCCTCTTATTCAAAGGTCCCGGGTTCGAATCCGGGTAGCGATCGAAACATTTTCTTCTCTAAAATTGTCTCCTTTCACCTTCTTTCTTGCTCTCTAGAAATGTTATTACGTCTGCTTTTGTCTCCGCTTTCTGCCCCCAGCCCCTCACTTCCTTTGCTCCCTCCTTTTGGCTCCTGGATCTTTCTGCAGCCTTTCTACTTCTACTCCTTGGCTCCTTCTTAGTACTGTCGTTCAGCCACACCCCTGATCTTCTGGTAGGAAAGATCTACTCCTAGCCTTCTCGGAAAAGGGCGAAAAATCTAGGAGGTCCCGTGTGCAAGTTGGGCACGTTAAAGATCCCTTGGTGGTCTAAATCGATAAGAATAGGCTTCGGCCGTCACCCGGGCAAAATTTCATATTTCCTACCAACTGAAAATGTTTTATGTGTCCCACGCGCTCATATGACCTTACGCATTTGCGAACGCCGTAAAACCATTGCAAAAAAAATAATGATAATAATAATTAAGAAGTATTCCTCCAAATGTCAATAATAATATGATGGGGCTCGATCTTTGTAAGCGCTGTTTGTCAAATCCGAGCTCATGTGACCTGATTTCCATACACTTCGTTCACACATCGACACGCACTATCATGGTGGCTGCTCTTTAAGTGCGCCCCATAAAAACTTTGCTTCGATGTGTGCTCATAACGGGACATGTTTCATGACCGTTTACCAGTGTTCACAGATTCTGACTTTCATCCATAACTCGAACGACGTATAACATGTTGGATCTTTTTTATGTTGTGGTTTTTTTGTTTTTTGTTTTGTTTTGTTGTTGCCCGCTAAGCCATGTTTCATAACTTTTTATGTTTCATGATACCACTCACCTTTGGCCCCGGCACACTGTCCAAGATGTAGGCTCCCATTTGAAATCTTTCCTGCACTTGCTTGGTCATGCTTTTATAGCTTTTTACGTTAGCTCAGTACTGTATATGTATATAT